CACGACTATCAGTACACCCCCACCCCCCCCCCCCCCCACTGTCGATTGTTTACGCGAAACACCCATGCCCCGGAATACACTGCTGTACACCCATGGAACGACATACATTCTTCGCTTCTGCTTCTGCTTGCTATGTTGCTGTGTTCTGTTGTGTTTCGTACACAACCAACCATAAGGAGGACTCACGCTGGGTGAGGGCCTATTTCGCATGAACATACATTGTGGAAAACAAAAGATATACTTTTTTATCACTTCGATCAGGTTAGACCCTTTAAAAATTCATATGCTCGGTGTAAGATAGGTTTGATCTAAAACCGAAGTCCCTGTTTACGAGGAAAACTCTCTTTAATCGGAATAAGAGAAGGTCGTGTCTAAAAGAGGTCTTTTGGTCCTGCACATCCCTCTCTTAAACCGTAGCCCCCACTGCATTGAATGAATTGGTTCTTTCTTCTTCTACTCACCTCTTATTTGTCAGGCAGTAATACTGTAACCATGTACAATTCTATGCTGCAATATGCAGGCCGACTCCTATGAACATGAAGGTCGCCATACCCGCTGTTGTTTCGCGTCCATGTCTACCGGTGCGATGTAGTGGGTTGCTTGAAGAACCTTGCAAACACAGTGTCATCGATCGGGAGGGCTGGCATGAGAGATTCCGCCCCCCTCGAAATTCAAAGGTCGAGTGGTCCCGAACTCTTGGCGTCCTCATCTACACTGTGAATTTTAAGGACGTTGGGGATCCGCACCCGATCACGCTGCCGGCGTGCCACTAACTCGTCGCAACCGTCAATCGGCTCGATCAATGCCCAGGCCAATACGCCTGTGTTACCCTGGGCTAGACTGCAACGATGTGCATGTAGAGGCAAGCCCACGCTGATGTGGCTTAGATCGTGCATGTCGCGCCACGCGGCAATCGTCCTTGAGACAGGTCTACGCGGCAGCCGCCCGACTGATAAACCCCAGGACACAAGCCCTGGCAGATCAGGCACGCGGAAGGCGTGCTCAAGCACGAGCCGCAAGGTCCGAAGGCGAAAATAACTACGGCAACGATTCTTTGCAGGCAATTGCCTCAAATACATTCCCTCCACGCCTGAGATGCCTGACTGATTCCACCTGTCGGCTCTTCTGCCTGAAGTTCAATCTACGCCACTTCGTACTACTGAGCAAATGGCGACGGGTCAAATGGAGCTTATTCGTTTGCACGCCACGTCACGCGCGGTCGGCAGTTGGGATGTAGCAGACCCAGACACTTTCCGCGATGGGCCACACTACATGATGAATTTAGGTGTAGCCCGGCGGGTTGAGAAGATGTTGTTTGGTGTTTTCGTTTCGGGAGTCGGGTCGTCTGGTATGCTCCTGCCCGCCTAGAGGCCCGAGTTGAATTGTGTGTGTGGTGTTGCTTATCGTGTGTGTGCGGTCGACACTTCGCTCCGGGCTACCAACAGCTGTGTTGTCAAGATGTAGATTCTCGACCGGCCTTCTCGAACACACGCTACAAATTTGTCGGAAGCTCTTGTGTTTTGGCTGTCGTTGGCCTCTCAACTATTTTGTCACCGACTAAGCGGAAATGGGTTGCCGGGGACGTCTCGGCCCAATGCTTGAAGGCATGCATACCAGAGAATGTTCCCTGCGATCCCAGATCGCGGGCGACCACTAGGTACACACAGCGAGCGACCGTCTAAATCGAGACCTTTCAAGAAAACAACGACGAAACATATATACCACATTTCTTAGGTGCATGACGACTGCATGTTTCAAGCCGTTGAGGTTAGAGACGCTCACGCCCCTTCAATAATATGGTCGTCGTCCATGCCATTAGAGTAGAATAGCCGTTTGTCGCATCTTGGCCGGGGGCGTGCCGTCCGTTGTTTTACAAGCAGTCCCACGCTTGGTTCAAACGGGTGCAGAATCCACAGAATCCATGGCATACTATCAGTACGAATGGTAACCAAATGTCCGTCGTGTCGCCTGACCCTACCATCCGTAACCGGACCCTTTCAAGGCTAGCCAAGCCGGACATTTCTTTCTTTTGTGGCTCACCTTTTGACCTCAGGGCTCGTGCATATCTTTCGCACACCACCACCTTCAGCAGAGTTCGATGTGTGCTCGCTTTAGGTGTGAGCCTCATCTCCATTCCAATTCTTTGTCATGATGATCAACGAGGGAGCCGGCATTCTTTGTTTCCCCCCCCCCCCCCCCAAGGTGACATGATGGCCGCTCGAAGACGCGGCGGCGGCGGCGGCGGCGCCACGGCCTGACTTTATTTTACAGGAATGGTGGCGTGGACGACAGTGTCGGCAGGCGACCTGGCCACAGATGAGTTTACCCCCAGAAGCTACGACGGAGTCGGGAACAACGANTTTCCCCCCCCCCCCACCCAAGGTGACATGATGGCCGCTCGAAGACGCGGCGGCGGCGGCGGCGGCGCCACGGCCTGACTTTATTTTACAGGAATGGTGGCGTGGACGACAGTGTCGGCAGGCGACCTGGCCACAGATGAGTTTACCCCCAGAAGCTACGACGGAGTCGGGAACAACGAGGCGAATCCGACCTGGGGGGCGGTCGGGGCTATCGAGGTCTGTTGCTTGAAGGGCTCTCGACAACAACGGCATCGTGCCATCGAGCGAACGACGACAACAATTACCATGCCAGCAGGCTGCCCCGTTTATCCGCCAAGCGTTACTGTTCCCCGTACAACGCCGCTTCTTTTGGCTTCCAGCCTTCCCATGTGACTGCGTTCCACAGTGTGAAAAGTTTGGCATCCTCCACCACCCATCTGTGAAATCGTGTCTCTCCATATTCATAATATCGTCGGAAATGACTGCGTCCTTGTCAACCCCTGATGTTACCTTCCATCGGCAGTATGGTCGAGCCCGTTCTTCTCCTCATATGTATTTGTGGGATCACACGGTGGCATCATGTCGGGCTGTCCGTGAAGCCACTCATCCGTCCCGCCCTGGAGTTTGCTTTGACATGAGACAAGCAATGTTCTTACAATAGACGATATTCCTATCCCATGCACATCTCGCTCCCAGTGTGAAAATACTTGTGGTGATTCTAAAGGGGTCATACCTACATGTGTTGAGCATCCATTTCCCGGACTTGCTCCATCGTTTGAACTTGCTCCCTCGTTCCCCCCATCTCTCTATCCCCTTCCATAGTACCGTACCTCCTTGAGGTTGGCTTTCGGTCTGGTGGCTGTTGTTTTTCCGCACATCCCACCCTGCAGACCAAAAAATGATGTCCTTTGTGCTGCTGTTGTTGGCGCCGGCAATTGCGCTCGGTGGCCCAAGCCGACTACGCCGACGAGCTGTTCACTCCTCCGGGGGATCTGACAAGACCGACCGCCAGGTGATGCTCGTCGAGCCCCGATTCCACGAGCTGTCGCTTGGGCTAAAAGCGGAGGCATCCACAAACACGTCCTCCATACGGCAGTCATGCACGTTGTTCATGAAACGTCAAAGATCGCCAGAGATGCCGGGGTACTGCTGAACGATCAAAGTGTTTGCTCATCTTGTTTCCCGAAAGAATTGTCTGACTCTGTGGCAACAATCCAAAGACCTTCGACTGAGGCTTTTTAGGGTCTTGCTGATCATCGCCCGCACCTACGATGATATTTCTCGTTTTCGCTGAACTTGGGATTCTCTAGGGAGGTGATGACCGACGTATTTCTAGCCTCGCCACCAGCTGTGTCCACGGAGAGCGCCCTCTTCGTCGCGTGGGCGCAGCTGCTGACTTACGACCTGTCTCTGGCCGTTGACATCTCCTCCGAACCCTTCGATATCGCCTGCGACGACGGTGAAAGGGTGGAAGGAGTATTTCCTACGATCGTCTAGGAGGCGGACGGAGGGTGTAAGTATACTATGTATCCCGTCATCTTGATCGCTATCATGCGAGGCGGAGCAACACGACGGGCTTCCGCCGACCAGTGTCGCGTAGCACGTGGCACGCAGAGCCGCGACATGCTTCGGCAAGTCGTGCGAAACTTCGACCTGTATCCCACCATGACGAGCTTGTGACGCAAGCCCCCGTTCCTCGCAAGTTCTCTCCTGCGCGAGAACGGGAGCTTGTCGTCACTTGGTTTGCATTTGCTTCCCCACTTGACCTGTTCCAGACACGGCCGTGGGAATGTCCTGCTCCTGTCTCGCGAGCGCCGGACCACACGCGCAGTACAGTTCCCTCACGGGGAGATTGCTGATGGCTGCATCTGAAAGGAGTACCTTAACTTGGGCGACAGTCTTGGTCGGAAACGACGGCAGCGGCTGGTACCATCCTGTTGTGTGACCCGTGCACCAATGCATACTTACCCGCGAAACGACACAACTGCGCATGCACACCTCCTCCATCCTTCACACTTGCAGTCTCATTGTACTCGTACGTATTCAATGCTAGAAGGATATACCATTATAGTTTTCCCCTTATGCACCGCATTTTCAGGCAACGGGGCGGAGGGAAACAGACATCTGGTGCCCCCTAGGGGGTAGCACAGATCCCATCTCCTTCTTCAGGTCGGACGCGGGTCTGTCAGACGACGATGGCACCAACAGTGCGGAGACCAGGAGCCCCGTGAACTACGCGACGGCTTTCATCGGCCTGGACTTTGTGTACGGCCGGAGCGAGGAAGACGCGGCGACCCTGAGGTCTTCGGACGGGAACGGTTTCATTACCGTCACATAGAAGGGCTTGCCGTACCTAAACGACGACGGGACTTGGCTGGTATGTCTCGTTCGCGTGCACTCACCCTCCTTCGAAAGTGCCGCTTCTCTTGGCAGAGACTGAATGCAAGTACAACGGGGAATCTCACGATAAAGTCATTCATCATTTTGTGGTCCACAGCACTACCCATATTGCGTACGATTTGGTGGTTACTGCTCCCGAGGTTGTAGAAGGTTGGGTTGATGGGATATGATGTACTTAAGGGGGTGTCTGCGGGTGAACCCAGTCCTCTTGCTGAGTGCCAATTGAAATATGCTTGACCTGAGCATAACGCTAGCGTCAATGTACCATCTTCGATGATATCTGCTCCCGAGACAACTCGTTGTGCTTGTTCCGGTGTTCTGCCGTGTGTCACGCGTGTTTGTGTACACATCGATGTGGTGAAAACACGCTCAGGTCCTAGGCTGATGCCAGAATTGTTTGCATAGTGGTCGAAATGCTGGAGGAACTAGATACGTGTCTCATGCGTGGTAGGCGCAAGTGGAACACATATGATGGTCGTCTCGTGTGCACATGCATATGAGTCGCGGGTATCTTTATGAGCCCAAGACCTAAACAGGGCTGGCCAAAGAAAGCAAGTGTGGCTCAGGAGGCTGTCCGCAGGGTGAGAAGTAGAGACTATCGCTTGTGTATGAATTCCTTTTGGCACGCTGTTCCCTTGACTTCTGCGATATATACTTCTTTCAACGATGCGTGACCATAGAACATTCAGCTTCAACGTTTTGAGCACCCTTCGTTCAACACACTGCCACTCATCCCTGTCTTTCTCTCAACTCTCTCTCCTTCAGACGTCTCCCTCTTTCTCCCTTTCTCCCACGTTCGGCCTCCCTCGCTCGCCCCTTGCCTCGGCAATTTCCCCGCGCGTCCTGCTGGTAACGCCATGTTGTCGTGGTCCTCGTGCTCAAGACACGGAAAACTCATCTCACCGTGACAAACACCAGATCCCCGACCAGCGAACGGCCCGCTTTCTGGTGACCTTCGCCCTGCACGTCGTGCTGCTCCGGGAACACAACCGCTGCTGCGTCGAGATCGAACCGGGCGAGGGTGCGAAGACTGATGAGGTCCGGCGGCGAAGTTTGCACGGTTGAAACGAAACCATGATTTTGGGTTGGGTATTTCCTCACGGTGGACTGTACGCCGGACGACAGAGACGAGCCCAAGTAATAGTAGATATACCCAGGCAACAACACAATTGTAAACAACACCATTTTGCAGCGTGCGGAGCTACTGGCCTGGCGATTTTCACAAAGTACAATTTGCATGAGCGAAAACTCTAAAGGCTGGCACTTTTAGTTGATGGGCTCGAGACGACTCTTACCGGGCAAACGCTAAACGTGTTGGGCTCCGACCTATCTTTGCGACAGCTTCGTCATATTAGTAGGTAGATGTTACTCGCGCGGTGAGACCTTACGACAAGCCCAGCATGGCCAAACGGAAGACACTGTGCCATTTGGTGTACTCAGTATTATACGGTGGAGAGTGCTACGCCGGAGCGGAGTGCACCCTGTCATAGGATCAAAAACACGTGGTGTGCGGGCAGAATATATCAGTTGGTGCGGCGCCTTGGTTTTTCTTGTCTCAACGCACCAGCTGCTGTTGCAAAGATGTTTTTGGCGTGGACAATACCACACAATGAACGGTTTGTTCAAGCAAAGGCCGATGTCTGTCGCTCGCTTGATCAGCCGGTTAGCTATATATTGTTGACATTCGTGCATACACGAAAATACAGGACATCTACCAGGCGTGCCGGGGCTGGACTATTGCGGTTTTCCTGCACATCACGAAGAACGACTTCCTTATCCGTCTCCTGCGGGGCAGCGTCTCGGACTTCGTTGAGACCTCGTCTTTAACGTCGTCGGCATCGTCGTCGTTGTCATCGTCATCAGCAGCAGCAGCGTCAGGGCTATCGAGCGACGATGGTGGTGATACTGGCTCCAGTGGCAGGCGAATAAGGAGGAAATCAACGAAGGAGAAAGAACAAGATGCATTAGGTGGGATACTGGCGAGGGGGATATATGAGGGGTGTAAACAGGTTGATAACGTCCTTCCTGCGTGGTTGTATCGCGGTCGCTGCTGCGTAAGCGTTCGTGACTGAGTGCCTTGCACGTCACCTCACCATCACGACCACGCGCTCACACGACGTGATCGTGTCCGATAGTTCCTGGTGCAAATTTGACGAGAAAACGGGATCGAAATGCCCTACACGGATGAACCACGATCGTGCGGCTTGCTCTCGAAATACCCCGCAAGAAAGAGAGAACAGCCGGAATTTAACCTTTAGGTGCAGGGACCAAGTTGCCTACGGCAGACATGCGTCGTGAATCACTGCTTGGTTGCGAACGGCACGGGACCTTCTTTTCAAATGGTTGGAGAGTAGAAGTCACTTGCCCAGAAGCAACACCATCACAAATACCACCAAAAGGAAGCAGCCACTTTCAAGCCGGCCTGAACCAAAAAGAGCACCATCTCGAAAACATCCATTTCGAATATTGCGTCTCTACAACCAACACCCTTCCTTCGCATTCTCAACTCATTCCCCAAACCCCTTCCTTCGCACTCTCAACTCATTCCCCAAAACCCGTCCTTCGCACTCTCAACTCGTTCGCCAACACGACAACAACACCGAACGGCTTCGTCGCCATCCCATCATTCGGAAATTTGGCGAAGAATACCCCCCTGAACGGTGCAGGAGGGGCCTGTAGATTCTCTCGGACTATGACGAGGAAAATACCCAGGCGCTGACACCTTCACGCTAACGGCGGGGGCGGTAGCCTTCGAGTCTGCTCTCCCGCCGACCGTGCGCGTTGTGGCAGAGGGCTACGAGTCCACTCGGTACGATAACACCGTCGTCTCTGATGGCAGCATCTGGCGCTCCATGCACAAAGATGGCGATAATTTTCGTGTGTTGAGGCTTGCCCGTGACAAGGCAGGCAGTCCGCCGGGTCCTTCTCGTAGGGCGTTGAAAGTAGTATTTCTGGACCAAAGTTCACAAAGAATATAAGGGGAGGGCACATCGCCTATGCAGGCGGTAAATGGGTCGGTGAGATGCTTTTATGAACTATTACAGGAAATCCGTCACGGGTCACGATACATTTTCACAGCGGACAAGACCGTCCGACCTTCGAGCCTCACCAGCTTGTGTTGTTGAAGCATCCCGTGTTTGGTACTCGAGCTTCATCGCTCGAACGCTTCTACCAACTCGCTGTTCCAGGTTGCGGACGTCTTGCGAGGTGCCGTACTGTCGCCAGTGTTGGCGGCCGATTCTCACTTCACCACGGCTGTCTCGAACGGGTCTCCGCTTTTCAAGCTCCCTGTGGACGCTGTCCAGCGGGGTAGAGACCACGGGCTCCCAACCTACAACGATGCACGACAGGTGAATAGAGCACCTGCAGATCGCACATCGGGACGAAAGAAAAGTGCGCGAGAGGATGAGGTGCTGAGGGCGTCTACCATCGCTGCAGAGCTGTAGGCGACGCAAACGGGAATGGAAATCAACCATCTGGGTAATCTAAATGAATGTCTTCTGTAGACATAGCTTCGTGCGCTGGGTGTACTTGACCTTTTCGGATGCGATTTGCAGAGTATTAGTGAAGAGGCCCGTCTGTTTTATGAGCGTTGATCGTTAAATTTGAACTTGAAAAGTTGGTTGGCCACTTCCCGTCTTGCAGTGTTCATCAATACATCTATCAACAGTTGTCAGTCCACCTCACCGAGGCCAGCCCTAGTTAGAGTATTTAGCCCCCGTTCTACCTCCTAGCCAGGCGTTTTCACAGTGCAGCGGGAGGGCGGCTCCGGCTACCAGTGTCAAACAGTGGGCCACGGCCACTAAATTTTATCGGCATGACAACCTGACTGACTGGGCGGCGGCTCCAAACTACAGACGAGCTCTAGCGGCGTGGAACAACTTAAGGTCCCGTCGCGTTGCATCCGTACCTTTGACAAGTTCCATATATATTTCTCGTCACGCAAGCCCCTCAGGCAAGCTGGTCACCAACACGCAAGCCCCTCAGGCAAGTGAGCTCGTGGGCTCTTTCTCTCTCTAGCACCGGGGGTCTTCTCCTGTCTCCCATATACTTCATACCCATCCACGTAACCCCCATCAGGCGGATACAGCGCATGTAGATCGGACACATATCCAAAGCACCACAAACAGCCCCCCTGCTTGATATGCCGTACGATCTTCCAACATTGCAAAAACGCAAATAACCACTTGAGAATCATCCTCTACAAAAACTGACCACGCATTCAACACAAAGCGTCTCCACCAGATTATTCACGAGTCCAATACATTCGCCCTGGACATGATCTCAAACCGTTGACACAAAAGAAGGATCCTCGGAAAAATACCCAACAACTATTTGTGCTACATCAGAAAAATGTCGGAACGAAAAACGGACATTTCTGGAAACAACAACTGCAGAGAAGTCGGTACTAAATCCTCAAACAAAACAAAAAACTCAACTTCTTGACCAATCAGAACGATGATTCGGAAAGCACACTGGCCCCAACCATTAACCGTTGAGACATGTCAAGCGCTTCCTCCAATATATTGTCCAAAGACCATATCATAAACAGCACGCACCCACTAATCGGTACCGCCACTTGTTAAGGAGTGTTGCTGTATGGCACAGATAGGGTACACAGTCGGTCTAGATTAAGATGGGGGACGTCAGGAGGTAT